TATTAAACGACTCGACTATCGACTATTAACATGATCCTAAGACAACTAATCAGATTTGATTTCCTATAACAATTGAGAGCACAAAGGATCCACTTGATCAACCGTTCAACAAGTTATTGATGACCTGGATACATTGCTAAAAAAAAAACAAAGGGTCAGTCCAATTACCTTCAAGAATTTCGCATCATATTTGGACAGCATGTACGATTCCAACCGACGTGTGACAAATGAAGTTCATTATCTATGTTTTATACTGCACAGTATGTTTCGCCCTCGATTTACACATTTATCATGAGTCTATTTAAGCAAATCTCTGGGAAAGTTATAAGCTCAAATTGACAATTTGAGTTGTCATTCTGGATGCCATTTATTATGTGGCAAGGTTGAAAATAAAAGGTATTACCGTAATTGTTAAATATTTTGGAAGGCTTAATACATTAACGTTCTTTATTATAGGGCCAGAACTTTGCGATCATCAAGGTAAATCTCATGATAGTAGATTTAATTCTAGATATAGCTTTCGTTGTTACTGATGTGAAGATGTCAGTTGACTATACTTGACAAGGTTAGTTAAATAACTTTATTAAAAATAAATAATTCCACTTTGTCCACTAAATATTTTCTATTATACTTATCATTTGAAATATAAGCATCCTTTACCATGCGATACCATTATTCTTCAACAGTGTGATTGCAATTATATTGCTAACCTCAGAAATCAATGAAATGAAATTTTTATATATGGTTACGATCGTATTCAGCGCTTTTAACAAAATTAGCAGCAACAGATGTTGAGGCAATTACACTTATGTCATCTAAGCTTTTTGGATTTCAGATTTCAGCGCAAACTTTTCAACAACTAGACCTTTTGAGCTGGATTTTGCAATTTGTTTATTGAAGATGTACCACAGTTAATTATTCAAGTAAGTGTTAATAATTTTCTAATGTCTTATTTTGTCATTGAAAAGAGTTGCATATTAATATCTATGCTTCAAAATAAATCTTATACAGGCAATTCACCGTCTTCTTGACATAATCCCATTATTGACTTTGACAATGAGTTCAATTATTTTAATTAACAATGTCATTACACATGTGTATAATTGAACTCACAAATGTAGCGGTCATTGTTTTATCTTTGTACCAAATTTGGAAGCAAAAAAGGATGAGATTTAATATACTTCCTTTTATTTTTACTAAGTGACGTAATTTTAAAAAATTATATTTGTGTTTCGATCCGGATATCCCGAACTAGCTAATACGCATAAGAAAGCAATATTTCTTATAATGTTTATCTCAAATACTGTATATAATCTTAAAATTCAGAAAGATAATAAATTAATTTGAATATTGTTTATTGAAATAGAATCAAAATGAAAAAAAATTTAATTATAAATTGGTCAATATGATTCAATTTTAGAGCTTAACTACGAAGAAATTTTCGGATGATTGACTTTCCGAATATTGTCTCGACATAAATACAGTATACTTAGAATTTTCTGTAGTAATTCGATAAAAATTCGAAATTTATCTTCTCTTAGAGACAGTTTTGTTATAATTATTTTATTAATGAAGAGTTGTTTCGCACTCAAAATTGTACATGTAGTTTTGATTTTCGTTGCTCAAGTTCGAACTTTATAATTAAATTAAAAGTAAAAATGGAAGTAATTCAATGACAAAACTAACGAAATTTTATCATTCTTTGTATTTAATAATAAAGTAGTGATGTTGCTTAAGACATTGAATATGCATTTACAAAATAGGGAATTTAAGAACTGCCGAAACATGAGCTTATTAAATTTTTTTATTATTGTAAATTTTCAAAATAAATATCTGAATTTCTTCTATTAGTTGTGTTGCATCTGCGGCTGCAATCAATACGAAAACCTTGACATAAAATAATTCTTTAATGGAATTGAATGTAATTACTTGATAGCAGAAAATGTTTATTAAAAATAATTCATACCAACGCATCCATAATCTCAAGAGTTATAAACTACTATTACTTACGGGAAAGCGGTTCTTTAGGAATTTCAATTCCGGACCATTTGTATAAGTGTCGTTAATTTCAACTAAAAAATTAATAAAAATAAAGCACAAGGTTAATCATTATCACCTAACCTTGAAGATTAGATATCTCACGATAATGGTCGATACTATCATGGCTCGTTCGTGCCACGTCATCATATCCTGCACTAGGCGAACTAGTCACGGTTTTACGTACTAGGAATTTAAGCCTTAAAACCAACGGGGGCCCCTAGATCCCTGAGACAGAGGATGACGTGAGAACCGATCAGCGGTAGCCTGGCCAGGTTCCTCCCAGAACCTAATTTTGTCTATGGCTTGGGACACTGGTAATGCCACCAGGGAATACCGAATCAAAGCCCGAGGGACTACCGACATGCACTAAGTATTACGTTTAGTCTACGACATGGAACGCTCTATACCTTAAGTATATCCTACGTTTCTTCACATTTCTAAAAAGCCCTTCCTTGCCTTCGTATATATTCCTCTTTATGATAAAAATAATTAATATGAATATGACTCAAAGAGTAGCTTCCACATATTTATTCCAAAACTATAAATACTAAAATCAAGTATTAGAAGCGTAACACGTCTTTCATAAGTTGGGTAGCTTTGTTGGTTGGTAGTTAAAAAGTTAGGATGAATAAAAAATATATAAACGTTCCTCCTTCACAGTTAAGCTTTCACTTTTCTAAGAAAAAAAAATTGTTTAAGAAAGTTTTTGCCGTTGAGAACTTGGGTGGGTTTATACTGTATATGGCAATCTGTATCACGTGAAATAAAATTGCTAATCAAATGATCGAATAATAAACAAGAAATTTCTGATAGCAGGGACTTCGTACCTCACCCGCTACTTTATCGCTATTTATAAGAATCTTTATTTATTAAATATTTATTTTAATTAAATTATAATTTGTATTAATAAAATTAAAATATTTTAAAATTAGCATTTTTTATCATATAAATATAATCGCAAAAGTCTTATTATATAAAGTTGAACATAATATAATTTAAAAAATATTTTATTTTGTAGTAATTAAAGTTATTGATCCGAATAACAATCTTAATAAAGATGATATTTGATATATTAATTGAAGATTTCCAACAAAAGTAATAATAAATTGCCGATATGTTACCAAATAGAATTTAATTTTTTATTTTATTAAATCGAAGAAAATATTGTAAAAAAATAATATGCATGCAATACAATGAAAAATAACAAAAAAAATATATAGTAATTTTAATTGGAATAATTAATGATTAAATAGTGATTAAAAAACGATAGATAATAATTTCATATAAAGGAAATCTATTAATTTGTGAACAATAGATAAAATTTTATTAAATTTTCCATCTCGTAAAGCCATCCTTTTGAAGAAGAGAATTAACTTACATGAAAATTTTCTTTCTTTGAATTTACATGAATGTGCATTGAGTCGTAGTTTTGGGTCTTTCCACTATTTCATTAGTGACAATGACAACGGGTTTAATAGTGTTAATTTTAGTTTTTGACATTTTTTTTTATTTCGTTTATGAAAGGGAGTTTTGGGATTTTGTATGTAATTTTTTTTCTTGATTGAGATACTCTTTTGAGTTTCTTTACTTTTCTTGTTTTGACTTTTTTTGTTGCTTGTTGAGATACGCAAGCACGAACATGCGTATTTATAATGAATCGACAAGTTGCGGAGCAGACCACACGAACAATACGAACAATACTAAAAACATTTTCTAAATTTACTTGAAACTAATTGAAACATTAAAGCTAAATTTGACTTAAATCAGACCGATTTGATTCATATTAAAAATGGTTAATTTTCAGATTGTTCGGATCAATTTGAACGTAATGGGACTATTTATTTTGGTGACCATACCATATACTAAGAGTTTATTGTTCTATTCCTTAAGTTATTGTATGATGCTGGGACAATGGAAAATAACAATAATAAATTATTATTATTATTTGGAGCACATACTGTATTTAGTTTGATTGACATGATAGAGAAATAGGTAACGCATTACTATTTTTAGATATTTATCATTAAATAACATTCAAAGGAGAAAATAGTAATAAAAAATACTAAAACTAAAAATATTTTTAACGTTATCAATTGCATTGTTTCAAAGCGTTGCGTTGCGAATTTAGGAGGAACGCACGATTTTGTTTTTAAATGATCATCGGTAGAAATAATATCAAAATTATTAAGAATTATTTTAATTTCTAAGTTTTTTAAACATTTATTATTAATTTAAGAGAATGAAAATATAAATGTTGTTATAATAATAAACTCAATAACGATGATTCATTTATCGTCTTGAAGTGTTTCTTTGGCCTTATGCATGTCTTCAAAGAAAATTCTTTAAAGGTAATGAAATAGCTACATTTAACATATATATTTCCCTTCACAAATCTCCGTATCATTTATAAAAAATGGGTTTATAAAACATTTTTTTTTTTTTAAATATTTCAAAACTGCACCATCAATTTAGGTCAACAATTTCTATTTTAAATAAAGCTTCAAACAATATGATGTGAGAGGAAATGTGTTATAGGAAAATTATGTTGGAAATTAGATTCCCGCGAAGAAAGTTAAGGATTTTACAGCTAATTTCATCTCACACCCTACAAAAAACTGTTTCCAAATTATATACCGGTAGTAAAAATGCAGAATAGAAATTTCTCGTAAGTTCACAAATAATTCGATGAATGATACCAGATACTTGATATTTTGTTATGGCGGGTTCGAAGTCGATAAAAAAATTTTGGATAAATGTAAGGGTGATAAAATCCGAAATCACGTGAGAAGATTAATTTGCCAACAGATGAAAACGGTTATATTTAATCAAAAAATTTAGTTATAAGAATTTTATTTAAAACTCGTTTTGTTCTTTGTACTGCGCCACAGATATCTGAAATAATTCACGAAGTATTAATTTAATGATTACAGTATATGAAGTTAAACATTATCGCGTTTAAAGAACTTAAAACTTATGCAAAATAATTTAATTCTAAAATACTTCTAACAATTAAAATTTAATAAGAAGCAAAGTAAAAGCTTATTTTCTATTAATACTTCTGAAAAATGTATTGTAGATAGAAATAATGTTACATAAGACATTGTATAAAATTTGAGAAAATAAATAAAATTGTATATGAAGTAATTGCCCATTTTCGCCAAAACAAGTGTTTTAAGGATGTGTAAAATGGTAGAATTTTGGTAGACAATCAAGATTTTATGAAAAGCTTACTGCGATTTTTCTCACGGTACTGCTTGCTGCTGAATTATTTTATTTTCACCGAAATCTCCGAAATTTTTTTAATTGAGTTTACCATCGAGATCTCGATTTAAAATATTTTTTTTTGTCTTGTTTCTATCTAGATCTCAACATCCTAGAAAAAAATATTTCCTTTAAAAATTTTAATAATATTTTCTTTTAATAATGGGAAAAGTACATCGTAAAGATTATTTTATGCGAAACAACCGACAACGGTCATTAGCAAAACGTCGACGCGAGCAACAACTGGTTCAACAGCAAAAGCAAGCGTCAGTCGAGAGGGAAGACTTGCTCGGCCCCGAATATTTGAAAAAAACTATTGACAAGAAAGATAAACCTTTGGGCAAGTTACTTAAATGGAAAGTAAGATACCTTATAAGTTGTAGCTATTCTTGATTTTTTGTCGCGTTATTAAAATTTACATCTAAAAGGTTCACATTCTTGTTTTGATCGTGATTTCAGTTACTTCGATATTTTCGTTTCTTTGATGTTTAATTAAATATACGCCTTGTGTGGCTTTGAAAGAAAATGTTGATTATAATTATTGCTAAAGTTGCGGAATAAAAAGGGAAGATGTAATTCTGTCGGTAAAATGGTTAATAATAGCCTTTTCTAACCTACGTAAGTTTTATCTTAAATCGTTTAATAGTTTGCGAGTTAGCAAAAATAGTCAATGTCAATTTATTTTTATTTTTTATTTTTTATTTTTTTTATTTGATAATTTCACGTTCTTATCTATTTTGTCGAATTCTTTAGGTTCTGTTTAATTATAATTAATGGCAATCTGCGTTCAATAAAAAAAAGCTTTTCATAATTGTTCTTCAATTTTACGTTTCATCTTAATTGACAAAACGAGAATCTCTGAAGATTCAGAAATTACTTAATAAAATACCAACATATCTTTCCTACCATATTCTGAAATTCGAAATGAGGAATCAATTGCATCCTTTTTATTTAACTCCAATCAGAAATTTCAAAGATCGCAAATGATCTATTCCTTTACAGATTTTAAGCAAATCTTATGAGAGTAGAGTTAATTGATATTAATCTTTTGAAGAAGGATTCGAAATCGGTGTAATTAAGAAAAAATTTAGGAATCATAACAAGGTTAACAATAATATAATCAATGTAAAACCCAAAGCTCGAAATATAATTGTTATTTTATTTTTTTTTTTCATTAAAAAATTTACTTTCTTGTCAAACTGGTTGGTATTTTCAAAAACTTTATCTTTGTTATGTATCAAAATGCATCAAGACCTAATTCTCCTATAGATTTTAATCCTTTTTGTATCCTTTAGTTTCTGAACTCAAAGAATTAGAAGGTTAGCAATTTACTTTAAATAATTAAAACTTTCTTTATTATAAAAGTTATATGAAAAATATCATATTTCTCACAAAATTCTGCAGAATTTTTTGATCAATGATTACTATTATTATTATTATTATTACCATAACAGATATACTGAAATTTTTAAAAAATAAACCTTTTTTGTGAACAAAATTTTCAATGGAACCTCATAGCTATGTTTGGCTTAATTTGGCATCGGTGCTCAACAATTTCTCAAGCGCAGTTGGATCTCGAACTCTTACGTCGAAACAATTTTATGGAGGAATTATAAAATTTCATTATTTCAAAATAATCAGATTTACTTATAGTATGAAGAATAATTGATTTATATTTTTCTTTAATATTGTTGACGCCTTGATTGGATCGGCTATATGGGTTATTTTCGCTATCAATCCGAGGGATTGCTGGTTTCTACAACACATTCTGCCGTTGTTGCGTTGATATCTCTGCTTTTGGTTGGAAAAGTAAATTAAAAATATTTTCATATGTTGATATGAAGATTTTGTTGATTCCGTCGAAAAATAAATCTAATTAATTTTCGAATATCTCTAGCCGTTGACTGGAGTTCTAACGGTGTCACAAAGACAATAAAATAATCTCATGGCTTATTTCGCCTATAGCAGAAAGTATCAGTAGTTGCTAGTGTCAATTATCTTTTTGACGGCAAATTATTTGATACTTATACAAATTCTTTCCAACGCTTTTCAATTTACATAACATAATTACCATCAACATCTTTTACCTTATTTTTAAAGGTGAACCAAGTTTAAAGTTATTCAACATTCAACCTCATTTCATTGAACTTATTATTGTAGGCATCTCGATTTTCGTGTCGGTCTTTAATTATTTCTTTTATACACTATATTTAAGAAAGATCATTGGAAAAGAAACTAACCTCAAGTGTTACCATGTTTTTCGTTGGTCCATTCATTCATTAGATTTCGTTATAGATAATACTGATAATGACACTGAAACGGGCACCAAAATGGAAAACAAGAAGGAAATTGAAATCGAGCAGATTATAAATCACATGAAAATATCGAATTGCATGATGAGTAAAATACAATCAGATTACGAAACAAATATGTTCTTTCATTTCAAATTCTCACCTGCCTCATTTTTCATGGTTCAAATGATGTTTCAAACCCTTAATCACAATTTTTCTTATCTATGATTCTGGTATTGTTGAACTATCAGGAACAACTATGTTTACCTATTCGGATATTGGCTTTATGGGGTTTCGCTATCGATGTGGGTTGTCCTTTATGGATACCTTGTAATGAGATCTATTGGGAACCAAATCACTTATAATCCCCCATCTCATGATTTCGCCATAGAATTGGACTATATTAAACGTCTCAAAAATTGGTCTCCCTATTTCAACAACGAATTGTGTTATTATTGCAACTGCAGCCATAGGCCTCAGGGTTGGGATTCGTACTGTACTGTACCAGTATATTTCGTACAGTACGTACTGTACTGAAACTTTTTAGTACAGTACATTTTCATATATATCATATATGCAATATACGTAATTTATTAATTAATATTTATATGTAAATTTATTTATTATATATTATAAAAGAACATTATATATTAAAAGGATTACACAAATTGTCTTCAAATATAAATTCTAATTTCCATTTAGCATCAATATTTTCTGCTGGATGCTCAATATCTTCAACATTTATATCACTAAAATCTTTTTTGCTTTCACTATTTTTGTCATACTCACCATCATATTCATTATCTTCCTCTTGCTATAATTTTTCTAACCATTCATTTAATTGATCATTAAATTGAGAATTAAAATTTTCTTTTAAATCTATATTATCTTGATTATTAAGATCATTATCATTTAATTCATTTTGTAAATATCTTTCATTTTCATTTTCATCTCTAATTTCGTTTTTATAATCAAATTTATTTTTATTTTTATTATTAATCATATTATTAGCAGATCTTTATTGATTATTACATCGATTATAATTAAAATCAGCTTATAATATTAATATAAATATAAATAAAGGTTATTAATTTAGTATTAATTAATTTAATATAATTACAGTATAATATAATTTTACCTTTAATCTATTTCTATTTTTTATATGAAAGAATCTCATAATGCTCTATAATCATTCTATTGATATTACATTAATATAAATACTAAAAATATGCGCTATAACAGTTCCAATTTATGGATAAGCATCATAAATTGAATTTAACACTAATATTTGTAAATATTACCTTTAAATTATACAACTAATGCTTCATCAAAGAAATATTTAGTTCCTTGTGAAAATCATCAAATTCAATAAGAATAGATTTAGAATTAGGACCAGTCAAACTTTATAATAATAAACTAATCATTTTTCAATATATAAATAACCAATTTTTGATTATGAAGATATTATAAAATAATTTATTTTGTATGCAAAATGAAGTAACTAGAATAGTATGAGAATTGGTTATTCCTAAATCTCCTATATTTTCTGTAATCATATTAAAATTCATCTGTTATATCATTATTTAGGAATTTTTTTCAAAATTAATATAAATGAGTAAAACAAGCAAAACAATGTAAGACTTTTATGTAATCTTGCTTTATCAGTTTGCAAGATATTAAGAATATGATAATAAGAATTTAAAAGAAATTCTAAAGTTTCCAAAAAATGGCATCTATAATTATAGAATAAATTTCTCATGATATTGTTAATGGATCAATTTTAAAGAAACAAATAGCTTAAATTTTGCAGCTAAAAACTATAAATAAAAAATTATATGAATTTATTAAAAAAAAATTTCTTACATGCTATATCTTCTTAGTTGAAATTAAACTTTGATAGCAATTAAGATAATTGTTTTATTTGATTTCTTTAGGAATTGCAGATCAAATAGATCAAATGTATTTTTCATATATTCTTTTTAAATGTTTTGAAATTAACCTATAAAATATTTGTAATTTGTATTTTTAAAATAAGCTGCTAACTTCAATACTTGATCTGATATTAATTTAAAATCTAATAAAATTTTATATTATGATATTAAATTTGAAGTCTTTTTTTTAATAGAATTAGTAAAATATAGTAAAGCAAAATATTTAAAGGTATTTATTAATTAAATAATTATTTACATACTATGCAGTATTATAAGCGATGCATTATTCATAATAATAGCTAAAAGTGTTATTTTTATCTTGTTATTTGAGATATCATTTCTTTAGATTTAGAAATAACTTTAGTAGTTATTACACGCTCACTACTTATATCTTTAGCTTATCATTCAAAAGGTTATTCAGATGTTACAACCATAGTTCCTATCAATTCTTGTTCACAAATATTTATCTAATCATCAAAAGACATTGTAATTCTTATCTGATCTAATTTCAATTTTCTAGTATTATCTTATCAAGCTCTCCAAGCAGAATTTATTAGATAAAGTTTTTCAATCTGTTTATTTGATTTTTGGATTAAAAAATTTAAATAATTCAATAACTTCTGAATTATTACCCAAGATAATAGAAATCCACAAGAAATAGTAACTCGTAATATCAGATAATAAAATTTTTTAATTTTCTGCAGTTAAAAGAGATCAGAAAAACCCATTATCTAAAGGTCTATAATTTGATCATTTATGATAGAAGGGAAGATAAAAAGAATAATATGAACTGGATCTCTTCATAATAATAATTGTTGATTAGATAAATCATTTGTATTTACTTCTACTATTAAATTATTTTTTTTATGCCAAAAGCAAAATATTTTACTTTTTTCTTTATTATAATACACATCATGAAAGTTTTTTACAATTTTTAAAATGAGTAATCAACCTTTCATTTTATCTACAATTGTTTTTAGTTCTGAACTATTTTTACTAAGTTTTGTAAAGCATGCTTTACAATAACATAAATTGTTATTTCCGTTCTTTTTATTTGTTTTAACAATATAATTTTTCAAATTTTGAACTATTATGAAAATTAAAAAAAGAGGTAAATCATATATAAAATAATGTGCATTACCATAAATTGTATGATACAGCAGATACAATAAATATATGCGTTCTTATTATTTATTACTTTGCGTCTTTGCCCTTTGGTTCAAATAAAAAAAATTCATTTATAAATTTTTTTTTCATGTATAGTTAAAAAATCTATTCAATCTAATATGCACCCTCAAGATATTTTGTTCAAATGAACAATCTTAAATTTCTTCTCATCTGTTACTAAAAAAAAAAATCTGTTCAGCATTATTTTTTAATTTAAATATTAAAAAAAGCATAATTCCACATCTCAACCTATTACAATTTACCTTCAGACATCCATATTTATCTTAAAATCTGGCTAGCCTAACGTTACTAAAGAGAAAAGGAGAAGAAACAATAATTAACGTTATTTCTTCAAATAATTATTAAAAAATATATAACTTTGCGTTCCATCATTCATATTTACCTCAGAATTCCGTAATCCCGCGTTCTTAAAAAAGAAATTAATGTATTTCTTTAATAATTACTAAAAAAAATAAAATCTAACTCGAAATTTACTTCTAGTTCCAACTTATGAAATATATCATTAATGAATTTTGAACAATTAAAATATATTTTCTTAATTAAACCTTTTAAATTAGCAAAGATAATTAATTTATTACGCATAAAATACGAAAAATAAAGTGTGCCATTATTAATGCGGAAATAATAAAAAAAAATAGTTAGAAAAAAAATAAAATAATAAAACAAATACGAAGTACATTCGATTCGTACAGTGTACGAATTAAATTAATGACGTAACGCTCTAAAGAAAATTCAACTCAACCAGGCTCCTAAAATAACGTCATAAAACTCCCTGATCTATAAATTGATAAACCCGGAAAAGTTGCAAGGATTTCAAAAATGAATTGAAAAATTATTGGCTAGTAATGGAATATGATCTAGGAATGTTAATGGTCACGGTCACCGGTAGAACTTCTGAATTGTGACTTTTCTAATTTGACCCATCGTAGATACGGCTGGTTGGCCTAAACCGGGCCTACATCTGGGCAATGCGCAACAATAATTCCATTAACTCACCAGTATTATGAATAGGATAGTATTGTTGCAAAAGTCATTTGTTATACATATGGGGTGTAAATTTTAAAATCCTAACAAAAACACACAATTATTTTCGATCAAATAAACCTTTTGAATTTTATTTGCCCTTCAAACTTTTCGAAGTTACTATTTGAATATACGCAGTCATTATTAAATATTGAATGTTGCTGATCACCAAATATTTCCGACTCAATAATTTTCAAATAGCAACGAAGGTAATCAACTGTAACCATTGAATAGCGATATTTTGTTTTTATATTAAAAAAAATCATAGCATTCTCGAATATTCGGAAATTAAAAATAAAAAAGATAAATTTTTTTTTTTGATACTACGATACATTGATATACAAATTTATAATAAAGTATTACAATGGACGAGGAAAATTTTATTTTGCTATGATTAAAATGAATTTTGAGCTCCCAAAATTCAAAGATTAATTACATACATATATATAGAATCTCTCTCTATTAAAGCTAACAAGTTTTTTAGAGTAACTTCACGAGTAATCTCTGATAACCTGTGAAGTTACGGTATAATTATTCGGCCCCTGATTATTATAAATATTTTTATTCTTTACTATCCTAATTATCATTTACTTTATTTTTTATTTTACAATATTTATCCTTTAATGTTATATAATACACACAGGCGAAAATGTTGCTAAATCAATTGATATAAAAAATGCGCAAGAAGCAAACAAGAAATAAAAAAATAATTGAATACTTTATTCGTTTATACAATTATAAAGTCTTTAGACGCTTTGCCCATTTGATTATAAATGTATATAAATATTAAAACTTTTACTGTTTTTATATACATTTAATAATTGTTCTTTTAAAATACTAGTAAATAGGATAATATAATATTTTTAAAGTAAGTATTATATAATTAATAGCTTAAATTGTAATATCACGATCATAGTTTAAATAAACTCTCTCTGTGACAAATTACTCCACAGCCAAAGTATAATAATCATATACGGCCGGGTTAGTTTGTTTAATACGATTACATTTTTATAATTATTAAAAAATACAAAAATTGTTGTCAAATTTCTGCGCCACAAGTGTTACGATCGATTATGATTTGTGCAATTCTTTAACTTCATTTTCACAATATAGATAAGTAGTATTATTAAGCTAAATAGACATCATAAAAATGTATTTAAAGGACAGCTTTAAAACATCCTTTTGGGATAATTTATATATTACATTTGATATATTGATAAATCATTTTGAAGTGAGCCTTCTAAAGAATTGAATGCATTGAGTCAACGGACAACGAAAGATTGGGAATTATGATATGCTTACTTTGTCTTAATAATTTGTTGCAATTCTTATATATTTTATAAATTTTTTTAAAAGGTGATGTCAGTATAACATTCATCAATTGAAGACAAATCATTGATATAGCCTATTTCAGTCTTTATTTACAAAATTATCGGTGTGGTTATACTCGGAATATTAAATCTGAAATTAAGGTACCGTAACCTTCCCTGCATTATGCATCATGTGATACTTTTTGTATTATATTTGTCACCCCACGTGGCTATATGGTTAGGGAGAAAATCATAACAGTACCATGAGTTCATTCTTATATGTCACCGCGTCACCTTATTTATAATCTGTACATTTACAGTATATCGTCAAAATATTTTCTTCCATAATATAAAAATGCCCTGTCATCTTATCACCGACTGCTTATATGAAGTTTTTGAATATTTAGAGGAAGACAAAGCTACTTTGTATTCATGCTTATTAGTTAATACGGTTTGGTGTAAAATTTCAGTTAGAACCTTATGGAGGAATATTTGGAGCTATAAATATACCTTTTTTGTACTGAAACAATATGATTTGGAATTATCCATCCTCAAAACTTTGGTTTCCTGTCTACCTGATGAATCAAAAGACTTTCTACATGATAACGGAATCTTTATTCCATCTCCCGATCGGAACTCACCAATGTTCAATTATGTAGAATTTTGCCAAGTTCTCTCGATTCATGAAGTTGATATGATAATCTATACAGTTTCCATAAATCAAAATTCTCCCATTACTGGATCAAGTTACAATGAATATTTGATAACTTTAGAATTATTTAAAATGTTTATGAATAAAATTCCTTCTTTAAAAGAATTAATTTATACCCCATCACAGCATAAAATGGTTTTCGATGTTTCTAAAGTCATATTTACTTATTTTACTGGAGCAACGAATTGCTTAAAGGATCTCAGGGTATTCAGGTGTAATTCATATGTTTGCTCGGAATTTTTCTATCAACTATCACGAATTTGTCACAACGTACAATTCTTGGACATAGAGCTTGGAAGTGAGATTTCAAATGGGTTGATTGATTTTGTTTCTGTTCAGCAAAATTTAAAATATTTAAAATTAAAGAATTATACAATGGATTCGGATTGGTCAGCTCTCATACCTTCATTATTAAAACACACTCGTACTTTAACCAAATTCAATTTATGTGGAGAGGGTTATCTACCAATGTCATTTATTGCCTCATTCGAAACTTTAAAGGAACTTGTCTTTAGATGTTCTTCGGATGGTGGTAAAGTGGATTCAATCGGAGATTTTAAAGTACTACAATACGTAACATTTCCACAATTAACGATATTGAAATTTTTTTACGGACATCCACATAAAGTGTTTTTAATGAAATTTTTAGAAAATAATGGAAAGAATCTTGAGGAATTTAGCGTGATAGAAGAGGATGATTCTTTGAAATTTATCATTGCAAAATATTGTCCGAATCTTAAAAAGCTCTTTATCATATTTGAAAAGGATGGATTGAAAGGCTTGAAGTTGATCTTTGAAAGTTGTCAAAAATTAGAAAGCATGAAATTTTGGTGTAGTGATAGGTATCATTTTTTAGATAAGGATGAAATATTGGAAATTATAGTAAAATATTCACCAATGAATTTTCATGAATTACAATTTTATGGTATCAAATATTTAAATTTACTTCCAGAAGATTTAGAATCTTTTTTCATTAGTTGGCAAAATCGGGTACCACAAAAATTACTTTCTATTATCATCCTTGTGGATTGTAATGACAAAGATATATGTTTAGAAATAGAAGAGGAGAATTTGGAGGTAATTAAAAGATATATGAAGATGAACGTTGTTAGAAAACTTTGCATTAAAGATTTTGATGATGAAGAAGAATAGAGATTACTTTTAATTTACTTTATGCTATCTTTATTTTTTTATTATTTTTTTTTTTAAAAAAAAAGAGAAACCTTATTCATCTTAATATGCACTTTTCTTAAATAAAAAATGGTTGAAATGCTTAACGCTTTTATCTGCAGAAGTATAAATATTCAAAATGGAGAATTAGAATCATTCGTCTAGGATGGTCATGTTTCATAATTTACATTAGCTATTTAATGAGTTTTTATTACAGTAATGAATATTTATGAACAAGCTAACAATAATTTTAATTGTCAAAAGATAATTAACAATTTTTCAAATTTAATCAATAAAATTAATTATTGCCGGAATATGAAAATCTTACAGTATAGTTACAAATATTTTCTTTGTACCACGTCTGCTTCCTAAATATTAAACTTAGTTTTTAATATATCTAATTGTTAATTCTTAAGCAAGGACAAAATAAAAGTATAGATAGTTTTTAATGATTTATTAGAAATATCTATAATGCAAACCGGCAAGCATTTTAAAAAATTTAAATTTTGTATGTAATTCTTTAGTAATTTTTCTTCATGAATGAAATGATGGGTGCTTACTTTCAAAAAATTGCATAATTTTGTTAATGTAGAATGATAATGATAATTCTAAATTATAATTACAATCTGATAATAATTCTTTTTATCTTCAATAAATTGACAAACCAAATCACGAATTTAAGAACTTGATTCGGGTTAGTGACTTATAATGGTTCACGTGTTCGATAATAAAACCAGTTAAAGATTTAATATAACTTTATAAAGTATTAATATATATTTAGAAACAATTTCGTTTTGTATTCTGAGGCTGTGGCTTATAAGCCAACACAAATAAACTATAGCCAAAATATTTGATTTATATCGGTTAAGCAACAATTTTTTATTGGATTTTCAATTCTGCAGTTAAAAATTCTCCTCCCCTTTTGGAACCGCTAATTGTCCTATTTGTGATAAGTTTCTGAGCAGAATGTAATTAAACAAAATGAAAGAGATAGACATTAAAAAACCTAAAAATATTACTTTAATTCAAGAATTAATAATATTCCTAACTTAATGACTATGGAAGAGGATAAAAGAAGATATTTTTTTAACTTATATTGCAAAATAATAAAAGCTGAAAATCAATTCAAGAAGTTATTAAATGTTATTTTTCATTTGTTAAAACCTTATCAAAAAGAACCGAATTTTACAAAAAATTTTATGTAAAACATGAAGTACAACAAAAAGTCAATAAAGAATTGTGGTAACAATTTTCTAATAATATTACATAGGATAATCTTAGAAAAACAAAAAGAAAATCCAAAAAAGATATATATTCTTTTCAGTAAATTGGATAAGAAAAAAATCATGTGAATTAGATCAATTTCTGCATGAGATATTTTAAAAATAAACTTTAATGATATTCAATATATTATTAAAGAAATTTTAAGTAGAAATAAATGTACAATATTAATAAAAAATCATATAATAAGACTGTGAATACATTTCATAATCTAATTATATGATTTATATTCTTTGTAATTATTTTGAGTAATCAGAAGATACCACACTTTTATTCCTTCTAATTCTCTCCTCCTTGTTACTTCCACCTTCATTATCATCATTATTTTTATCAGATTCCTCTTCACGATTGGATTCATCTTCACTATTAGATTCCCCTCCATGATCAGAATCCTCCTAAAATGGTTCCTCCTGAGTGATTTCCTCCTGAATGGGTTTCCAATATTTAAAATACTTGGAACCATCAGATTTCTGATTATTACTTTCAGAACAATGTGGAATATGTTTTTCACTAACGACCTTAATGATCTAGTGTATCCAGATCTTATCCATTAGAAGTATTTATCAGTGCTTCATTTTCACCAGCCGCAAATTGGGTATCATCATATACACTTTTTTTAGTTCTGCGTGCTTTAATAATTTAGAGTCTTTATTATCCACATAGTCTCGCAAAAATAACCACAACTATTAGAAATAAAAGGATAAATTAATACAATCCAATTGATAAAAATAAAAATAAAAATTACTTACTGTGAATAATCGCTATTTGGGTTTCTAAATGACGATTTTTCTTTTATTAGGATTTTCATCGTCAGTTTCTGAAACCTTTAGGCTATGATATCGATTTTTGGTTCAAACTGGTTGGAGTTTATCATTATAAATTTTTCCAACTAGACGAGATGGCCCTTTAATCTAATATATATATCAATAGTTCTTGCTCGTCATTTTCGTTTCTAATATTTTTTAAAAAAAATTTAAAAAAAAGTTATTTAACAACTAATTTGACTGTTTACTTACTTCATGACGATGTGTGTTAGCGTGCTTCCTCCTCCTTTAGAAGTCATTCCATTTATCTCCTTTCTTTCTCTTAAGTACTTCTTCTCTTTGGTGTCGATAACGTTTGTGAATGATGTGCTTTATTATGAAAGTTGACATTGGAAATACTTTTTTATTGATCGATTTTTGTATAATCAGTATCATATGGTTATTAACCAACTTTCGTTAGCTTTCAAAGGTTCTGTTAACATCTAACTTTTAATTTTCGGAAAATCTATCAATGATACTGATTATTTTAGACTAATAATAAAATGTAAATCAGTTAGTAAATAATTTAGACAAAATTATTCAAATAAAAAATAAAATATGGGTATCCTTAATGCATTTCGTAATTCCCTATCCATACTTTTATAATAAATATATAAGGTTTTTGGAGAATCAGATGAGAAAAAAGGAGATGAGGATTGATCTGAACTGTTTTAGTCAGAATGACTACTGATGGATTTGGTACATTATCTTTGTGGTGATTTCTCATACGTTATTGCCTAAAAATATAAAGAAATGTAAGAAAAATAGTAATCATCTATTAACTGATTGTTTGCTTATTTGCCTTCTTATTTTTAGGTGATCCTTTTTGACTTTTTCCTTTATCAGAGGTATCTGAACTATCAGAACTGTCAGATGATGATGATGTAGCTGCTACAACTTTTGAGGAACCAGCTTCTCTATATCTCTATATCTGAACTTTCTAATATATCGGCTCTTTTTATTTTTTTTTTTTCTTCAGTTTCCTTTCCTTTACCCTTTATGACTGTTTTTACCAATTTGACAATTTCATTATTTAGTTCTGTAAAGCGGTTACTGTAATATTAAAAATAAAACAATCAGTTAATTTTCTAACTAAGAATATTTGATTAACAATACATATAAACAAATAATACATATTCCGATTATTGACTTTTATCATTGTTGTCCTTTTCTTAAATGATATCAATCAAAACTGGTTTTTTTGATTGTCTTTTTTTTTATGTTGGTCTTTTTCTTCTCTTTCACTGCTCTTTCAGCCTTTTTGTTTTTTATTTTGTTTTTCATCATCAGAAGATTTTACTTCGGAAAGAAAACGTTTACTAATTTTTTTTTTATTCCTATTGAAAATAAAAATAAATTTAATATTAAGATAGTAATAAATCAGTAAAAAAATAAATTTAGAAATTGAATGAGTAGAAATAGTAGGAAATGTGATATATTTATATATTTTCAAAAGTATATTTTGAAATGAATTATTGCTTTGTAATATAATTATAATATGCTTGCCAAAATATGTCAATAAAATTTTCTGAACGTGGTTGGAGGGATCCAGATTATATAACACTTGTAATGTTGCATTATCTATTTATACATTATGTGCTCTTGACCAAAATTCAAACTGAAAAAACAAAAGTCAAAATATAATCAATAAAAAGAACAAAGTTTGATTTTACTCATCTCAGATTCCCTTTTTTAAAAGGTAATGTTAGTACAACCTGCATGTTGAATAAAGGCTTTTTAAGCACGCCATTCTCGATCACTAATTTCATAGTTGTATGGATATAAATCTAAAATAGCTTCTCGCAATTCTATAATACTACTCTTCTGATTCAACCATTTATCAAAAAAGTCACGCCATTTAATTCCACGCGTTTTTTTTTCAAATGATATTCATAAAGATTTTTTAAAACCCCTTCAAGAGCCCATTGTAATGCTATACAGAAAGGAATTTATACCTGTTCAATGTAAGATTGTGTATATGAATATTCTAATCCAAAAAGAACTTTTCAGTATAATTTGAAAATCTATTTATATTTAACCAAACTTTATTAAAATCACTAGCGTTAGGATTTCTCAAAAGCAATTTGAATTTGATTTGATTCTTTCGAATCAAATCAAATCAAATCAAATATTTGATCGAATCAAATCAAATCAATTCAAATTTGATCGAATCAAATCAAATATAAAATTTTTTTTAATTATTATAATGATATATTAAAATAAAGTTATTCCAAAGTTTTAATTAAGAAAATTATTAGTAATTGCACTAAAAAATTTCAAAGATAGCTTTTACAAAGTAAGTTTAGTAACAGGCGCATTTTTATTAAGAAAAACATAGTATAAAACGCATCCACAGCTTTAGAAATGCTTTTTTTACTAAGTAAAACATAGTAAAAAATGCTTCCGCAGCTTCAAAATGCTTTTTTTATTGTGAAGATGTTTTTTACTATGTTTTACTTAATAAAAAAAGCATTTCCGAAGTCACAGAGGCGTTTGTTACTATGTTTTTCTTAGTTAATACCATCTTGAAGCTTTGGAAATGGGTTTACTATTGATTCAAATCAAATCAAATATTTGAATAGTTGATTTGAATTTGATCAAATCAAATTAAAGATTAATTTGAATTTGATCAAATAAATGATTCTTTGATTTGAATTTGATCAAATCGAATCATATATAAATTTGTATTTGTATTTGATTTGATTTTCAAATCAAATATTTGAATATCAAATTGAATTGCGGAACCCTAACTAGCGCTATACAGTTTTGCAAAAGTATTTTCAATGAATACTTGAACTGTACATTCCTCGTGCTCTAACTTCTAAACATAAAATGACCTTACATTATTCGAATTACATTGAAAAATAGATTTATATCTATCTCTGCATAACTCCACTCCGATTTCTTTGATTTTCCTATTCTTAATACAAATATATATAGTCTTCCTAAACTGAACGTATATAGACGAAATATAACATTACTAAATAATTGCTCTACAACATCTGAATTATCAAAACCCATAACTAGTGGATCAGAAAACTTAGCATTAGAGCGAAATACTTCTTTATAGCAGGCGTTAATGGCTTCTATTGAAGAACTGCATATACCCAACTGCTTTTCTTCAGAGCATCAGAAAAATCCAAGAGAATTAGGGTGTCCGACATATCCTTTTACAACTGTAATTATAAAGTTACAGTTGTTCAAAACTGCAAGAGTTTTCATTCCTAATCGAATTAGAAGGAGAAAAGTATGTGCAGAGGTTCTATTGAATCGTATGAGCGACAAAATGATCCAAAATGTAAATTTTCTATAATGTGTTCTATCAAAAGCCATCAAGTTGTTTCAAATTTCAAAATTTATATAATCACATAATAAACATAATACTGATTTGTGATTGGCTTAAATTTATATCATATGATAATACATTAAAATTTAAAATCTGATTAAAGTTTAAACTAAGAAAACCTTTATTTTATTAATTCATCAATATTTTCAAAAACAAAATCTGGAACAGTTTTATGTGATTTATAATTTTTTAAAACATATACAGCTTGTAAACCTGTTAATCCTTTTCTATAGCATTTCATAAATTTTGCTGATTTTTGAGCATATTTGCGTATATGATTTAAAGAAACTAAATTTAATGCTTTTGGAACTATTTCTTGTAATCCTTTTCATGTATAATTACAATGTTGTCGAGTATATCACTTTGCAGCTCCCTAATACATTTCAATATAATTAAGTTCACAATGGAACTTTGGATAAAAAATTACTTTATGTCCCAAACTTTCAATAACTTCTTATAAAATTGGTTTTTGATTAAGAAAATCTTTTTGAGTAGCTAAAATATGACGCACACAACATTTTGGATTTTCTAATAATACATTTTTATTACTACAAAATCCTTTTAATCCTAATTCCCATAAACCACGTTCTTGTAAAATTATTTTTATTTCTTTAGATTTTTCACAAAGTTTTTCATCTGGATAATCAGCAGGAAATACCATATTTTGAACTTTTCCATTAAAAATAGTATCGCGCATAATTGGTTGTTTTCCACCAGGATTAAAATTTATATTTGTTGCATTAAGAGTAACATCAACCAATTTTGCATGACTAGAGGAATTATCAAATGCAAATACTGCAATCATTCCGGGATGTATTTTTTCAAAAATTGGAATTGCTTGAGTTTTAATCTATAAATATGTTAAAAATATGATTTTTTATAAATTAATTTATAATATATTTTATATTATCTGATGAATTAAATGATCAACATTTCACCATCTGTCAAAATTTTTTTCAGGATTAATTGTAACACGAGCTTCATGCGAGAGGATTGTTTCATCTACATCATTTCCATTTAACTTTAATCTTCTAATAGTTTCTGTTAAAAAATCATTGACATGAATAAAGCATCCTTATCCCTTTTTACGTAATATTGTTCATTTTTAGGTTTTCAACCTGATTTTTGTCCATCATTTGATTGAAAAGTTATTTCATCGTGTATTACAAAAATGTGTAGTTTTTGCTCACTTTCTAATTCTGGATTAATCCTAATTTCAAGCTCATCACCAATAAATTTCGGCATTAATTTTTGATAGCTATAATATAAAAAAAATGTTAATAATATAAATAAATAAAATATTAAATATAATAAGAAAATAAAATATTTACCTTTCCATAGTCTCAAAAAATTCTTTTCGATAAGCAACAATATCGTCTCTCTCATGATCATCAATATACATTCCTTTTGTATATTGACTAAAAATAAATCCCATTTTCTTTAACCATTGAATTGCTGTAGATTTGCTATAAAATATAAAGATTTTTAGTAAAATATGTATTAAATAAAATAATTTATAAAATATAAATATAATAAAACAAATACCTGATTTTAGTTTTTTCTTCTATACCAATAGAAGGCAAAATTTCATTGGCAATATAATTACAAAAACTGTGAATGGTTATATCAAATTTATGTTGTTGTAAATATGATGTTATTTTTAATTGAACATCTTCATCATCAATAATATTTTCTCTAAAATATTTTTCACAATTACTATTAGGAACATCACCATATTCAATAAATGCTTTAATCCAACTTCTAACACAATGAGTAAACCATATTCCTCAATTTAATAAGTCTGCAACAATCTGACTTGCTTCTAACTTCGCATGCCTTTTGTTAAGAAGTTGTAAATAATGTTGAACAGCTATAAGTCGCAACTTATATCCTGGAGTTAAATGTTCATTTTCAAGTTTTAGTTTATTTTCAATTCTATTAATTAATGCATTTTTTATAGTTTTATTAGCATCACCAGAGAAACCACCAGAAGAACCACCATCAGAGGAACCACCAGAAAAACCACCACCGGAGGAACTACCAGAAAAACCATCACCGGAGGAACCACCAAAAGAACCATCACCGGAGGAACCACCATCAAAATTATTGCCAGAAGAATCACTACCGGTATTATTTTAATTATTTAATAGTTGATAGAGTGTTTGTCCATTTTTCTTTTGATTTTCTATTGCTTAGATTTTTTTTTAGTATTTTGCTATTTATGAGTTTCCTACATTTACTAATGGACGTTTGGAATGTTTTAATGCTTTCATATTTTAGTTAAACTAAAAAAAGCTGCTCTGCCTCATTCTCATCAGTCCATCCAACTTCATCATCTATGCTAACTCTATCATCTGAACCTAAATTGTCATTAGAATAGGTATTATCATTATTTTTCATAATTTGAAGTTCTCTTTTCTTTGCTATCTTTCAACACTGTTGAGTTCGTCGTTTTAGGCGTCCCATTAGTGAGAAAAAAAAATAAACCAGTTGATCAACATATGCATACAATCTAAACTATTTACGTAAGTAACCTAAATTAAGCATAATTCCGGCTGGAGCAATGTATAAAATCTAAGTTAAAATTTATGTGCACAATTTAATTAATTATTACTAAAATAAGAAAATCATAACATTTTCTTATGTAAAATTACCTTTTTTATACATAATTTATCTATTTTTAGTAATAATTTGTACACATTTTATGTTGTGTAATATATGCACACAAAAAATTAATGTGCATATATGCACATTGTGCACATAGATTTTACGCACTGGGCTGGAGTTATATGTTTCAAATCTGTTTCCGCTTAAGAAAATACTTAAACTTTATCAGTTAATAACTTTTGATCTAGATTTCTGCTCGGAGTAATTACAACGTCATTTTATAACACCAGTCAATATCAATCGAACTACGTTAAAATATTTTAAAAATATGTAGTAAAAAAATTTTTATTTCATTTTTAAGTTTGACAAATTTATTGGATGGCTTATGGTGACACAAAGCATACTATAATTTTTTTTTGCAGGGCTTAAAGCAGTATATAAAATCTAAGTTAAAATTTATGTGTACAAATTAATTAATTATTACTAAAATAAGAAAATCATAATATTTTCTTATATAAAATTACATTTTTTTATACATAATTTATCTATTTTTAGTAATAATTTATGCACATTTTATGTTATGTAATATGTACACACAAAAAATTAATGTGCACATATGCACATTGTGCATATAGATTTTACATACTGGCTTAGAGATCTGCTTGTATAAACAATAACATGTTCTTTTTCATCATCTCCTTTTTGAGACAATACCGCTTCTAATCCAATCTGAGAAGTGTCAGTGTGTAAAGTAAAAGGTTGGTCAAAATTAGGGTAAATAAGAATTGGTGCTATTGTTAATTTTTCTTTTAATACATCAAATATTCATCTGACCATTGATATAAAGTTTTCTTTTTTATTAATTTATAGAGTGGTGATGATATTTTTGAAAAGTTCTTTATAAATCTTCTGTAATATGAAGCTAAACCAAAAAAGGCATGCAATTCTGTAAGATTTCTTGGTACTGGATAGTTAGCAACTTTTGTTATTTTTGATGGGTCAGGTTGTATACCCTGTTCATTAACAACATATCCTAAGAATTTGATCTTCTGAAAACAAAAGTAACATTTGTCAGGTTTAATTCTTAAATTGGCATCTCTAATTCTGTCAAAAGTGATTTGTAGATGTTGTAAATGTTCTCAAAGGTTTTGGAATAGATATTAAGATCGTCCATATAGACTTTGATAAAATGTTGCTTTTCCTTTTGAAATATTGTATCCATAATTCGCTGAAAAGTTGCAGATGCATTACATAATCCAAAGGGCATTACGATAAATTCATATAAACCTTCACTGGTGATGAAAGCTGTCTTTTCAACATCTTTTGGTCTTATTTTAATTTGCCAGAATTCTGAAAACAAATCTAATGAACTGAACCAACATGATCCTTATAATGAGTTCAGTAATTCATCAATCCTAGAAAGAGGGTAATTATCCTTTTTGGTAATGCTATTAAGATTCTTATAATTTACACACATTCTCATTTGGCTATTTTCTTTTTAACTAAAACTATTAGTGCTGACCAAGGACTACTAGATGGTTATATTACTCCTTGTTGTATTATTTTCTCAATTTTAGCAGCGATCCATTCTTTCTCTTTTGATGATGTTAAATAAGCTCTTTTTTTTATTGGATAAACATTTTTGGTAATAATAGAATGTTGAGCAACATTTGTTTGAGTCAATTCAGATTTGTCATTAGCAAAGAGATTTTTGTTTTTAGTGAGTAGTTGTTGAAGTTGCATTGTTTGTATATTCGTTAGACTTCTAATTGATGCATCTTTTCCTTTTGTTATTTTTATTAATTCATCATCTTTCTTTATTTGAGTTTTAGCAACTCAATAATCTTCAAGATCTTCATATAATTTTTGATAAAATAAACACTTTTCATTATTCTGTAATGGTTTACAAAAGCATCATTTTGATCACTTCCAGTATTATCAGTTCTCTAAAATTCAAGATTGCTAAATTCCAAAAATTCTGTTAGATATTGTTGATGATTAATAATAGCTATATTTTCTTATAAAGATACAGATAATTTTGAGGTTCTCCTTCTGTTTCTTCAAGTTCTAATTCGTCATATTCTTTCTCAAAGAAATCTATTGGTGATAAAATTTCAGGATTTATTTTTGTAAAGCAGGTAATTAGAACAGTATCAATTTCTTTATTTTGCTTTATTATCATAATTTGTTTTTCAGTATTAATAATTGCTTTTGCTTGGTTGGTAATCCAATCATTTCCAAGTAGAACACTATATCCTGATACTTCTATTACAATCATATCTTTTTTAATTTCAAATTTTCCTATTTTAATATCAACTTTGAACATCTTTCCTAATGGTGTAATTTTCGCTCCAGTAACACTAACAATTTGGACATTAATAGAAGCTTTTATTTTTTTGTTTACTGAATCTAGAAAACCTTTAGTGGTGATGCATCCAACAGCTCATGTGTTGATCATTACATTAATTCTTTTTCCAAAAACTTCAGTTTCAGCAAAATAAGTGTCCTATGGTTTCTGTTCTTCCCATTGAGCTTGAGCGATAGTTGTTGATATTTTTAAGCTTTTCAAGATTTTCTGCATGTATTTAACATATGTTAGTATTATCTTATTTCTTTTACATTTATCCTCATATTGTTTGAAGGTATTAAGAATCCATGAGCTTTGTTTATTAGACTCAGTATTTCTAAGTGTAGTATTCATGCTTACTTTGGTAATATACTGTATACATTACAGTTAAATTTGGGATTATTGAAGATAAGTTATGAAATATTCTTTTTGATGATTAATCCTGTTTCTTCTTCTATTTCTCTTATAACTGCTTTAATAGAATATTCATTTTCTTCTACTTTTCCTTCTGGTACTTACTAAAGGTTATACATTTTCTTACTTTTATCGATTCTTTTTGAAAGGAATATTCCAGCATTATTATAAACTACATTCATAACATAATTTGGAGTTTTTGATTTTCTGATTAACTGAAATATATTTATGGAATCATTTGATGAGCATTTATGATTTTTATGTTCTACCTATTTGTGACATCTTGAGCAAAGTATAAAAAGACAATCTTGTCAATGATGATCTTTTTTTTGACATTTATAATAAAACATTTCAATATCTCCATTTTTAGCACATTGTTTTAGAATCTGTTGTAGTTTCTGATTCTTTTTCTTTGTGATCATGTGACTATGATGGTTAACATCATCAAAATTACAAATCAAACAAGATGTGGCATTGTTTTAGAAAACATGCTAGTATTCTATAAATTCATCATTTTTAAAAGGTTCGTTGATATATTCTTGATCTTCTTCATATTCGAAATCATTTTTATGGAATTCTCTAACATATTCTAGTGGGTTGTTTCATGTAACTTGTTTTTCAGTTTCTAGAGGATTTAATTCATCTGCACTCTCACTTCCTGAAGGTGTGTTTACTAGTTTAAATGATTAACTGAAAAATTGAACTGTTGGTTTCTTCCTGAAGAAGATTGTCTGTTATTTTATTGATTATTCCAATTTCTATTATTGTTATTTGGATTATTACTATTATAATTATTATTCTGGTTTTGATTATTTTGATGATTATTGTTTTGGTTTGCTTGACAATCTTTTGCCATATGTTCAGGTTTGTTACAATTAAAACATGTTCTTGTATTGTTATTATTGTTGTTATTATAATTACTATTATAATTATTATTATTATTAATGTAATTATTATTGTTATTCCTTTGTTACAGTCTCTAACAATGTATCCTATTTAATTACAATTATGACATATTCTAATATCTCAATTATTGTTGTTATTTCTATTATTATTATTATTATTGTTACTATTATAGTTTGAAGAATTATTTTGATTTACTTCTAATTTTTGTATGAGTTGCTCAAATTTTCGATCAATAATTTCTTCAACAGATTCAAATGTATTACTTCTAAAAGCATTAGTTGGAATAACAGGTTGATAAGTTGCAAGACTTGTTCTGGATGGCACAAATTCTCTATGTAGATTTCTCAAATAATCTGATATTAAGGAGTATGCAGATAATTTCATTCCCATTGAGTATGCAGTTTCTAATACTAGTGCTTTATTAATAGCTTCTTCTATATTTTTAGGCATGGATGATTGCACTGAAACTATGAATTTAGGTTGCAATTCTTCAATAAATTCAGCAATTTTATCAGCATTTGTTCGATTGTTATATGAATCAATTCTTTTCTATAGTTCTGTAATTTCAGCTATATATTTGTCAATGGTTTCTCCATTTCTTTGTTTAAGTTTTGTAATTGATGTTTCTATTGTTGCTTTCTGAAGATATTACAGTAGTGATCTTGAAATAATCAAACAAAGGATTGGGTTGAAACAAGACTTCTTCAGCGACAAGCTCCACTTTGATTAAATCAAGTTAATTCTGTTACTTTTAGATATGATGGTAGAATGTTTAGCATTCTTTTCTTAGCATTTCTATTTGCAGCACATGCTCTTTAAAATCCTTTTAACCATTCTATTAGATCTTGATTACCTCCTTTGAAAGTTAAAAAGTCAACAAGTCGAGTTTCCTTTGGGATTGGTATTCTAGTAAGACCTGTATATGCATTTAATACATTGGTAAATCCTAATAATAGTTGGTTGAGTAATTCATTACCAGTATCTGAAGAAAGAGGAGGAGTATTGTTTCTTCTTCTTTCATCTTCTATATTATTCAATCTTTGATTCGCTAATTCTTTGTGGATTTCTAATCTATTTTTAAAGTAATTTTTGACTGCTTTGTCTGATCTTACTGATACATTATAGACATATCCTTGATCATTATTATCATCATATATTTTTTGATAGGTTGTTAGAAATAATTGTAATGTGTTTGATAGGTTAATTATATTTAATATATTATTATTATCCCTTAAATCGTAGGATTTTGCAAGAAAATTTGCCTGCTTATTTACTATAAATTCTCTTCTGATTTACTTTTATAAATAATTACTATTTTTTAAAAATTTTTTTTTAAATTAATTTTATAAATATATAATAAATTATAGTAAGTTTTATCTTTTAATTATATATACTCCCGATCAATAAGTTTAGGACCATCCCGAGATCTGCAAATAAATTATGATAAATAAATACCAATGCATCGGTGTAACCTAAAATTTGTACCATATAATTATCAATAAATAATGATTGTTATGCAGATCACGCTTTTCAATCTTAAATTTTTATTTTTCACAAAATGGTTAAAATAAGAGAACTTACGGATTTTGAACGCAGAACGATAATTAGTTTCTATAAAGCTGGTGAATCAGAAAGAGCTATTTCCAAAAAACAGGTCATAGCAAAACTACAATCCATAATATTATATCAAAATACAATAAAATAGGTGCTATTAGTGTTGCTTCATGAAGTGGACGTCCAAAAATATTAACGGAATGCGATAAACGTCATCTTAAGACTATTGTTACTCAAAACCATTGTGTTTCAGCAGATAAATTAGTAAAAACTTTTGCTGAATCAACAGGAAAAGTAGTATGTAAAAATACTATAAAAAATACCTTATATGAAATGGAATATAATAGTTGTACTGCTCTTAGAAAACCCAATGTTAGTGAACCTAATCGAAAAACACGATTAAATTGAGCTTGTGAAAGACATTTATAGACTATTAATAACTGGAAAAATGTTGTATGGAGTGATGAATCCAGATTTACATTATATCAAAATGATAGAAAAATCCGAGTTTGGCGTCTTCAAGAAGAAAAATATAAGGTAAGTTGTCTTGTTCCTACTGTAAAACATGGTGGAGGTGGTATTATGATGTGAAAGTGTTTTTCATGGTATGGATTAGGTCCATTGGTAAGAATAGATGGTCGAATAAATAGCGAAAGATATATAGAAGAAATTCTTGGCTATCATGTAGTACCTTTTTTAGAAAAGTTTGAAGAAGAATATGGTGAGTATTTATTTCAGCAAGATAATGCACCTATCCATGTCAGTATAAGAACACGAAATTTTGTTGAAGAAATGGCAATATGTTTACTATCATGGCCTGGACAAAGCCCAGATCTTAACCCATAGAACACTTATGGGATGAGTTTGAACGTCGCATTCGAGTTAAACAAAACCACCTAAAAAATTTGCGAGAATTGGAAGTACTTCTTCAAGAATGCTGGTCTGAAATTTCATGTGAGATTTATCAAAAGCTTGTTACAAGTATAGTACATTGTATAGAAGCTGTAGAATTATAAATTATCTTTATAATTTGATTTTTTTAATGAAAAATATCGATTTTTTATTAAAAAACTTTACTATTATTAAAAGTTTTTAATTTTTCAAGATTTTGAAATATTTTTTTTTGTATTATATTATATATAATATGTATGATGTTTAATAAAAAAAATTTGTGCGATATATTTATAAAAAAATATTTTTTATCTTGCATTAATAATTTTAGCTTATTTTATTAAAAAAAGGTTATAAAGATGTCACATATTAAATCCACTAATAATTTATTAAAACAAACCATAAAAATTCATCATTCTTTTAGTAAAATAATCGTATATAATGCATATAATTTTTATAGTCTAATAAAAAAGTTAACCATTAAAAAAAACCCATTTTTTTATTATTTATTGGGTGGTCCTAAACTTATTGGTCGGGAGTGTACATGAAGTCAAAATGAAAATCCAAAAGTCAAAATATTTCAACTTTAGAGGTCAAAGTCAAAATTAAAGTTGAAATAGTCAAAATAATGTTATATCACATGATTTTTTATATATAAAAAATATAAAAAAAATAAAAGATGTACAATTTCAGTTAATATTGCTCTGATTAATATGAAACAACTACTATTTAATTTCTTATCATTTCACCTCTCTTATAATGTATTTATTTTGATCTACTATTATATGAAATTGACCAACTCAAAAGAGGATATAACTTGAATCATACTTGGATTTCTGATTTGAATAATATGATCTTATTCTTTATTTCTGTTGATATTTCATCTTTTGGATACATAATTGGATTACTAGCTTTAAAAAAAACTTGAAATACATTTTAGACATAGTTGATAAATATTATTTCATCACATATGCCATTATCAATAAAACAAATTACAACTACTGACTAATGCTCTTTCTTCTTCTAATCCAATTTCGTTGAAATTTATTTCTTCTTATATTTTCATTATAACCCAAATAATCTTCAAGAATTGAAAAATGTGACATAGTAAAGTGATCTACAAATGATCAACATGTAAATTAACTTACAGAATCAATGATATAATGATCTGCAGAAATGATTTGTGAAATTATCCAAATCAATTAATAAAGAAATAAAGTAATGAATCATTAGCCTATGATGATATGCGTAACCTTTTAAACTAGAAATAAAATTCTAAATAGGAACTTCAAGAAGGAACTAGTTAAAGATTAAGTATAAAAATATAGTAATAATTTAAGAACAAAATAATTATATTCTCTACATCTCTTTAAATATATATATTATAGTTATAGGACTATTGCATAATGATTAGATAGTTATTACTCAATTATTACAATGAAATTACACAAAAAGATAAAAGAATTATTACATAGTTTTTATGTAATAGATAGCAATTTAATGTAGAAATTTTATTATAAATAAGCTGAGTTTTTCATTATGCACAAATATTATACATATTATACCATTTACAAAAGAAAAGTCTAAGA